ATTTTACTATTATTACCACGCTGCCACCATAATTGCCATCGCCATTGCCATTATTGCCACTATTATAACAGTTGTGGCAACCCTCTACTTTCACAATCATTGCCACCATTACAATAATCACCACAATCATCTGCAACATCTTTTCTATCTGCCGTGATAGGGAATTATTTGAGGTTCGCTGTATTTTCTTTTATTTATTAAAAAAATAATAATGTATTTAAGAAATTGTTAAAATAAAATTTTCTTTTAATTATTAAAATTTGATGTGACATTTTAATTTTCTGAAATGATGGCAAATTAATGGGGTATTTAGGCCTCGTTTCACAAGTAACTTTTTTAGTCAAAAAATTAAAAAGTCACTAAAAAAATCAAAAAGCCAACAATTCATACCAAAAAGTCAAATATTCTCTTTTCTCTCTACTTTTTGCACATCTTTTCGTAAAAAGTCAAAAAGTCATCCCAAACATATTAATTTTTTTAGCTCATATTTTAACCAAATAGTCAAAAAATTACTAAATTAACATGTTCCCAAATGAGGCCTTAACCTAATTCAGTACTTAAAACTATATGTATTAGTGATAATCAATTAAGTCCGTTTGATAAACATAATTGATATCATTTAAAAAATTAAGTGTCTCTTAAAATATAGGCTAAAAGTTAGGAAAACACTAAACGGCTGCTACCTTTATAATTATTGTCATTATTGCCACAAAGACTATCATCATTTTACTATTATTACCACGCTACCACCATAATTGCCATTGTCATTGCCATTATTGCCACTATTATAACAGTTGTGGCAACCCTCTACTTTCACAATCATTGCCACCATTACAATAATCACCACAATCATCCGCCACATCTTTTCTATCTCCATGACATTACCTTTCTATTATCATCACAACCACTATCCATTTGTCTCTGCCGCCATTGCCATTAGCACCATAATTAACACTTCGTCCTCTTTTCCCACCACCAACTCACCATCACAATATAAAAATTTAAAAATACAATTTGAAAATAATAAATTTTAAATTTGATCTTATACATATCAAACAATTTATTTTAGTTCAACACTTAAACTTTTATCAAATAGCTTTTCAAGTTAAAAAATTCAACATTCAGTTTTCAGTATTTAATTTTTAATTTTCATTTTTCATTTTTATCAAACACCACCTTGGGCTGAGTATGGTCCGGTTTGGATCGGTTTGGGATAAAATCAGGACCAATCTATTGTCTACGATTCCATAAAAATTAGAACAAAACTAAATCATTAAAATCATGGAATCAATTCGAATCAAACCATTTAAATATAGTTCAGTTTGATTTGAAACCATGGTTTCACTTAATCTTTTTACAAGAAAAATTATATAACATTTAAAAAAATTCAGCCTATCATAAATTTTAAAAATAATAATAATATATCCATTGATAGTTGCCTAAATGTACATGTTTAGGCCCTTTTTTACCTATGCTTTTGAGTCTATTATGGTGATAACTTGATACATTTAAATGCAATTCATGTGAATCAGGTTAATGTGGACCAAGGAGCAAAAATAAGCAAGGAAGCCCCTCACGTGCGGCACTTATTCCCGCACGTGCGACACAAAGCAAAAATATCGATTCTTCTCTGCCTTCATTTGCACGTGCGGAGGGTCAATCCTGTACGTGTGGCGCCAACCCTTGCATGTGTGGTGATATTTCTTACACGTGCGGCCTACCTTGAATTTTGTGCACGACTATTTGAACTTATTTATGAAATCTACAAAGTATAAAAGAAAGAAAAGAAAGTTTTTCAGGGTTCGAATTTTTTGAGAAAGACAAGAGAGGCTAGGGTTTGGAAAGTATTTGTACGTCAAGGTTGAAGGTATTTCCATGGCAGTTTCATCATCCTCTTTACCTCCTTGTTCTCTATGAACGGCTAGGCTCATATTGCTAGGGTTTTGATGAAATCCTATCCAAGTAAATAGAATATTCAACTAGGCTTTGATTGTTGTAACGGTTAGAACGAGTTGTGTGAATGTTTTTAGAAGTTTTTATTTCATTTCTATCTATCTCTTTCAGTGTTATTCTTTCTGTGATTGATGAATGCTTTTCATGCAATGGTTTTCTTTGTATTGTATTCAAAATATGAGATGAATCAAGTTACGAGAGACGAGTTGTGTTGCTACCTTAGTTTAGAGCGAATGATTCGTAGTACTTGAGATTATTTGTGCCTATACATTGAATGCAACAATCCTCTTAATTAATATTTCAATTTTGTAGTTGTTAAATATTGGGTAGTTCAAACTATATCACAATTAATTGCTGATGTTAAACCCTATTTATGTAATTAGTGGTGGATTCATTACCTTAGGATTTTCTCCAACCAATTTCTCAAACCCTAATATTTACTCTTCATTTAATTTCGTTTTTCATTTCAATTCTTACTTTAATATTCATCAACCCTTATATCAAATTAATTTAGGAATCTTACAATTTAAATTGATTTAATTTCACAATTGTCTATGTGGATCTATACCTGAACTTATCATTATTCTATGGAATTTAGGTATAGTTTAGTCTTTATTTTTGGTGTACTTAACGACCTATCACCCATTAAACAAACTATTCTCATAATATTCACCAGTTAAGCAAAAGCATGACATTAAGCAAACATTGTTCAACATTATTCTGTCATAATTTTTTGAAACATAAACATGTATATTGTTCCACCATTAATTTAAACAAATATAATATTTAGCAAATAAACATATCTGGTTTAAGTTATACGGTTCAGTTGGGTTCAAATCCAGAACCGTAGACCTAAATTCGGAACCAATTCGCAGAGAGCATTTTTTCAATTTTCCAAATCAGGACTGAACCACGAATTTAAAAAAAAGAAACCTACTGGATTGGTTTGGACTGGTTCAATTTGTGAATTTTTGGGTTTCCTTACTTCACCCTAAAACCACTTAATCACTTTTTAGTTTTTTTTAACTCACCTTCTTTGGTTTTGATTGTTTTTTCTGAAAATTGAATTTTTTTACTTTTTGCATTTTATTTTTGTTTTTAGTGAATTTTTTTAATTTTTTTTTACTTTCTAAATACACATAATTTAGATGCACCTAAAAAATAAAATATTGGTAAAAAAATATTTTCAAAATTTAATAAATATACAAGAATACGAAAACATGTTAAATCTTTATATTTTTTTTATTTGATGACTTTTTAAATATTTTTTCTATAAATATTATAATTTTTAGGTGTATTTAGATTAGGTACATTTAAAAAATAAAGAATTCTTAAAATATTAAAATTTTTAACTAAAAACAATATATATATATAAACAATAAAAAATTCAATTTTCTGAAACTAAGACTCGTTTGGGAACCATCACTTTTAGCCAAAAAGTCAAAAAGTTACTAAATTAGCCAAAAAGCCAACAACCCATACCAAAAAGTCAAAGATTCTCTTTTCTCTCTACTTTTGGCACATCTTTTCGTAAAAAGTCAAAAAGTCATCCCAAACATACTAGTTTTTTTTAACCATATTTTAGCTAAATAGCCAAAAAGTTACTAAATTAACAAGGGAAAATTAGTGTAGGGTCCCTCTCCCACTTTTCATAATAGAAGAGATCCACAAAATTATTTTCTAATGTCTAAGGTCCCTAAACATATATCAGAGAAATTTGTCTCTCCTCTCTCTCTCTTCTCTGCTCCTCTACCCTCCTCTCCACCATCCTCTACGACATCTTCCTCAACACCTTCTCTTCCGACTCCTCCCTCCGCTCTACCACCGTCAGCCGGTTGAATCCGATGAGGAAGAATAAACTTTCTTCGATTTGGAATTTGCTGTGCCAGGTTCTGACGAGAAGGAAGACAAGGACGATGGTTCAGACACTGACGAAGATTCGTACAATGATTTGGCTATAAAAAGGACGGCGTGATCAAGTCTGATTTCGTTGAATCTCCTAACGATGTGTTTTTTAAAGGAACCAAGCCTTTGTCTCCGATTTCGTTCCTGAGATCTCCACCGAAGTTTCGTGTGTTTATGCTGTTTAAGAAGCTGAAATTGGAGAAAATCGAGTCCGCCGATGCGTCGCCAGCGACTCACCAGCAGAGCAAGCATTTCGTTGAGAAATATAAGGTTGAGGAAGTTTCGATTTTCTCACTGCTTGCGAGAGTAAACAGTTCGAGAAGCAATTCACGGAAGCAGATCTCTGAGAACGGTTCGTCGAAACGTTTCGCCAAGGATGTGGTCCAGAAGTATCTGAAGCTTTTAAGGCTCCATCCTCACATGAAGAACCAAAGGAATGGCAAGTTTGCAGTGGCAATGAAAAGCTGATTCAGATGATCCATTATCAGAAAGAAATGGTAAATCACGATCACCTGAACTGAATTTTCTCTAGGTTGAAACCAGATAAATTCTCTAGTTTGAACTGAAATTTCTCTAGGTTGGTCCGGAGAAATTTTCTGGCTTAAAGTGAATTTTCTCTGGATTAGTCCAGAGAAATTCTATGATTTGAACTGAATTTTCTCTAGGTTGATCCAGAGAAATTCTCTGGTTTGGCGGAGAATTTAGTTTCTTCGACAGCTATGATTTCTGGGTATGCCCGGATGTGGTCCAGAAGTATCTGAAGCTTTTAAGGCTCAATCCTCACATGAAGAACCAAAGAATGGCAGGTTTGCAGTGGTAGTGAAAAGCTGATTCAGATGATCCATTATCAGAAAGAAATGGTAAATCACGATCACCTGAACTGAATTTTCTCTGGGTTGAAACCAGATAAATTCTCTAGTTTGAACTGAAATTTCTCTAGGTTGGTCCGGCGAAATTTTCTGGCTTAAAGTGAATTTTCTCTGGATTAGTCCAGAGAAATTCTATGATTTGAACTAAATTTTCTCTAGGTTGATCCAGAGAAATTCTCTGGTTTGGCGGAGAATTTAGTTTCTTCGACAGCTATGATTTCTGGGTATGCCCGAAGTGGATGAAAATTGGAAGCTGTTGAACTCTTGCGTGGTATGGCGGAGAAGAATTTGTTTTCTTGGACGGCTTTGATATCTGGGTTGGTACAGAGTGGACAATGGATTAATGGGTTTAATCTCTATATTGAAATGAGGAGAGCAGGGGTTGATATTGTAGACCCTTTTATTCTTTCAAGCATTGTTGGAGCCTCAGCTAATTTAGCAGCATTGGAGCTTGGAAAACAGATTCATTGCTTAGTTTTATCTTTTGGTTATGAATCTAGTTTATTTGTTAGTAATGCACTTGTTGATATGTATGCTAAATGTAGTGACATACTAGCAGCAAAGACCATTTTTGATACTATGTGCCGAAGAGATATAGTTTATTGGACTTCAATTATAGTTTGGATGGCCTAGCATGGACGAGCAAACGAATCATTGTCTCTGCATGATGAGGTGATTTCAGGTGAATTTTCTTTGGTTTTTTAACTGAATTTTCTCTAGGTTGAAATTAGAGAAATTCTTTGATTTTTTAACTGAATTTTCTCTGGGTTGTTTCAGAGAAATTCTTTGGTTTTACTGAAGTTTCTCAGGGTTGATCCAGAGAAATTCTTTGGTTTTTAAACTGAATTTTCCCAATTCAAGAATTTCAGTATTATGGAGATCCAGGTAGATTTCGGCAAATCATCACAAATCTCATGGGTAATTCAATCAAGGTAAGTATGCATCAGCTTCTCAAATTTCAGTCCAACAATCCAAAGAAAATTCAGACCAACCAAACCAGAGAAATTCTCTGGACCAACCCAAAGAAAGTCTAGAGAAAATTCAGTTCAGACTAAAAAAAATTCAGTCTAAACCAAAGAATTTCTCTGGACCATGTAAACAAACCCATGGTGGTAACGCTGCAAATTCAAACAGGTGAAGAAATTATGAAAGTATTGAGGAATTTTCTCTGGACCAATTTTCTCTGGATCAATTTTCTCTAGACCGAATTTCTCTGGATCAATTTTCTCTGGACCAATTTTCTCTGGATCAACTTGAGGGACCTTAGACATTATGAAAATATTAAGTGTCCTTTATGCTGTAAAGTCTTAATACCAGGGACCTGAAAAAAAAATTCCCCTTCTTAAAAATTCCAAGAGTGTTTATGACACAAATTTATCACACTTTCTTAAATTAATTTCATACTTAAATTTATAAATCAATTCCATGATCTAAAAATTTATTATGAAACTAGACTTCTCAAATTTCATTTTTTTGCTTTTAAAACTTTTTATCCCAAACAGAAATTGAAAAATAATGAGTTAAAAATTTGGGGTACTTACGGACAAGTCCTATTAACAAGATTTATTTACCCATAAATTCTGACTGATAAATTTATTATTTTAAAGTTATTCATTAATATTCACTATCTTTACTCATATTCACTTACTCACTTACAAAAATTCACCATCCTTTTCCACATACACAAAAAATAAATATGAATATAAAACAAAGAAGGTAGTGGTGATATGGTGGTTGTGTAGATTGGCGACAGTGAAGTGTAGATCTACAATGGTAAAGTGCAGATCAACGATGGCAAAGTCTAAATCTGTGACGATGGTGGTGGATATGCGGAGGTGGAGGTGGAGGTGGTGGGTAGACAGTAGGTGATGGCGGGTAGACAGCGACGACGGCGATAGTGGTGTGAAGGTTTTGGAAAAATAACGGAGAGAGACAAAGAGATAGAGAGAGAAAAAAGAAGAGAAGAGAAAATGAAAGAATTTGATAGGTAATTTAATGAGAGTAAGGCTTAGTTTGGCATAATAAAAAAAAGTCAAAAAGTTAAAAAGTCACTATCCTATTTAAGTCACATCATTTATTTAAGTCACATCATTTCTCTACCACATTACTTCAAACCCAACCCATATTTCATAAAAAGTCAAAAAGTGCACTTATTTAGTTTATCCCAAACAACCCCAAGACTTATTGGCGCATTCAAAAAGTCAATAGGACTTAATGGTATTTAAGTCTACTTAAAAAGGACTTGTTGGTAATTAATCCTAAAAATTTTACTCTAGTTTGGCCCTACTTATTGGCTAAAATATTTTTTTCTAAATCCTAAAAATATCGTGCTGGACTATGTAAGTAAGATGACCATCGGGCCCATAGCCAACCCCGTATGAGACCCAAACCCTGTGAGTATAGGTTTTAGCATTTTTGATAAGTAAATGCTCAAACTTTATTTTACAAATAATCAAATAAATATATAAACATGTATATATTTGGTCGATATATCTATGTAAAGGGTAATGCCATAAGGGTGTGTACCATATACAAGTTATAACATTTTTGTGATTAATTATCACAAGTATCATAACTAAATCATTTACGAGTCGCAACTAAAAAAAAGATTTGTAACCAAACATCACACTTTATAACTAAAAACTTTTTGGACCATAACTAAAAAAATAATGTTATAACCAATATTACAATGAGTAATAACTAACAGCACAATGTGTACAACCAAGTCATAATTGACACCACAATATGTCATAACTTAAGACTACTAACATCGTAATGGGGGGCATATGGTGCACACCCTAACGCCATGTTTGTTTGGGCGGACTGGATTAGTATTCCCATGACTAATAGTCCTAGATCTACGAATCCGTTGGATTATGTATCCTATCTTAACTAATAGTCAAGTTTAAAATAATTAGTCCGTACTTCAACTGTTTAACCAAATATCGGATTAATAATTTTATTGGACTATTAGTCCAATCCCAAGCTCATGTCCACCCAAACAAACATGGCCTAAGAGGGGTGTGTATCATAGAATTTGAGTAGTGCTATTTATACTTATCTTTTTTCTTAGGACCTCTCCACATATTTTGTTTTTTTTTAATTCCAATTTTGTCCAAACATAAAATTCCATTTTTATCCCCTTACTTAACTTTCTAATCCTAATTTTTCAAAACTTAACCCCAATCCCACCAACCGTCCCCATCACCCCAACACCGGTTGCCTCCCCTCCATCCCGACTTGTAAACTCCACTGTCATCACCAACGTCACCTCTAGTCATTAACACCTCTACCCTTACTCACCAATCACTAGCAACGCTACCCACACCACTCTTAGACTCTCTGTCTCTTTCTCCGTCTCTATCTATCTATCTCTCGCCAGATCGCAATCGCGATTACAGAAGATCAATGATGGTGGCAAATCTACCTTCCTTGTACGATTGTCACGACAGTAATGCTGCTTGCGATCTCTCCCGATTCCGTTTAGTAGTTTAGGGCCAAACCACCACGATTTGTTCGGTGGTCTACAACTGAACTACTATTGTTTGTTTGGTACTGATTTTCCAAACCAAGCAACACGATTTCAAATAAAGAAAAACTGAACATGAGCATGTGAAAGAGGGCTCCAGGGTAGTTGTATGGGTGGTAATGATGAAAAATGACTAAGATCAGTGAAATGAGAGATTTGGGTAAAAGAGATGAGGTAGAGGATCGTCGGTGGAAGAAGGGAAAGGAAGATAGAGCTAGGGAGGTGGGCTGTCGGAAAAGAAAAGTTGCCGGTGAGAGAGGGGGCTGAAGGAGAGTCTCTAGTGGAGGAGAAGGGTCGTGGGAGGGTTGCTGGTAAGGGAAAGGGGTTGCCGAAGGTGGGGGAAATTGTTGGTTGAAAAGTGTTGGGATGAGAGTTTAAAGGATATATTTGGGATTATAGAAGGGGTCCAAAGTAAAATAAGGAAATGAGCAATTTTGGTGGTGGGGGTTCAAAGAAGTGGGAGGTCCTAAGAAGAAAGATAGGGGCATTTAGCAATTCCCTAGAATTCTTCTTATGTAATTACATAAAATAATTTAATTGAATGTACTTAAATATCCCTTATCTTTCTTTGGTATTGCCATTATAGCCCTCTATAAACAACTCACTCCCTTATTGCTCTTCAATTGTAGAACCTCTACGGCTAATAAGGGAAAAAGGGATAATTATACAATAAAAAATCACTATAAGGCTTTGTTTGGGATGTTTGATTTTGGCTAAAATAGTCAACAAAGATAAAAATAAAAATAAAAATAAAAATAACTAATGAGGCAAAATGTCATATCCTACCTATCAACTAATTATTTTTTTCTCTCACAGCCATCTATTTAACTACAAAAAAATAAAAAATCATTACAAGCACACAACTTTTTTTATCTCATAAAATAGTAAAAAAGTTAAAAAGTCACTAAGCCCTTGTTTGAACTGAGCTTAGTCTGATTTTTTTACTTTTTAACTATTTTAGCTTGGCTAAATAAGCCGTGTTTGGGATAAATTTTGACTTTTTTTTTTGTGTAGTTAATTTGAAATTTGTGAGAGAAAAAGTAAAATATATTATAATTTAGATGTGATATTTTGTCTTATTAACTAAATTAGTCTGTTTTGTCTTTATTAACTAATTTAACCAAAATAACTTATGGCAAACCTAAAATAATCAAGTTCTCACATGAGCACTTATTTAAATCTATAATCTAATACTTAACCAAACATGTTAAAAGTTTCAAAGATACAAACTATAGTCTATATTAACCGTTGCGTAAAGTCAACCTGTTATTATGAATGTGTATGATTTTCTTTCTTATGAATGTGTATGATTTTCTTACTTACGCATAAAGAGTGATTTGGATATCACAAATGGGTGCCAAATTGAATGTGCATGAACTCACCAAGATACATTTTGAAATTCCAATTTTATTTCAAACACTTTTTTAACTCTCATTTTGTAGATACCATTATCAAATTTCATGTCATTTCTTATCAAGTTTTTAAATTAATATTGTTAGTTTATTTTCATGAACCAAAGATGTTAATGTTGTTAGCTTCTCTTCAAGAACCAATGTGCTTGATTTTGTTCACTTGATCAGCAATGGAGCGATGAATGTTGATGTGGAGTTAGCTCGAACATGCCCAAGTAGGGTTGTAAATAAATTGAGTTGAGCCGAGTTTTACAAGGCTTGAGGTCAACTCATTTATTTATCCAGTTCGGACTCTGTTCGTTATTATTAAGCAAACTCAAATTCAGCTCGATACTCAACAATGAAATCTTTTTGTTATTATTTACATTATTTAAATAAATAAATAATAATTTTGCACACTTTTATATTATTTAAATACATAATAAATGTGCCAAGTTTATTCAAGTTTAAGCTCAGCTTGTTGATTAAACAAAGTTTAAAAATCAGACTCAAATTTATTTATTTACTTAATGAATAAAGCTGAACCAAATTTTTATGAAATCGGGCAGAACTCGCAAAACTAATTTTATTTTTAGCCCCACGCAAAGGGTGTTCTAGCTGCCGATTGTCTTAGTGCACCTAGAAAAGATATTGTTCCATCCAATTTTGGCATGGACTCTAATCCCTTATAGCCTTATGCTTATTTGGGAATAGTAGGAATAAAAAATTTAGGAAATTGTGCAATCTTTTAAGGGTGCATACTATATATATATATATTATATTATAAAAATATATAATTTTATTATTAAATTTCATGATATTAATTATAGAATGCATAATTTTGTTATAAATTGGTGTAACAAAATGTCTAATTTTTTTGGGGGTTAATGTTGTAAAAGTTTGTGGTTTGGTTACGACAT